GTTTAGCAGGTAAATAAAATCTCCTTACATTTATACTTATTATTTTAATGATGTCAACTTTTGACTGCCTTTGCTGCTTTAACATTGCAAATGTCCACGTTATTATCTTATTTTTATCTTATTGATGTCTAATTGTGGCATCTATTGCACTTCTGTCCGTCCTGGGAGAGGCACATGTGGCTCTCTCTGAGGTTTCTACCTATTCTCTCCCCTGTTCATATTGTTTTTTTTTTGGATAGCTTTTCCTTACTCTTTTAATTTAAATTCACTCATTGTCTACTCACCACTATGATGATGAAAAACTGAGCACTAGTTACTTAAATTGTTTAGATTTGGCAACAACACCGTTTACCCCTGAAACTCCACAAGTGTTTTGTGGAGTCAAACACTTCACCCACCCCTCTATGGGCGTACTGGTGAGTAGATAATGAGTGATTTTAATTTTTCAGTGAACTATTCCTTCATGTCCAATGAGACAAATTGTAATTTGTGAATATGGGCAATAGAAATAAAATTTGATCGATCGATTGATTATCTTAAAATGACTCCATTTCAAAGTTGAATTACAGTTCCAGTACTACCCTGCCTGGACTTTGTGACAGACTGTTTTGAATGAATGGTTTCACTGACAGCAAATTGTGTTGCTCTGTCAGAAACAAGTGGAGCCACAGATGTGTCTAGGTTTTGCGTGCTAGAAGAAATCATCGATGATTTCACTTAGGGATCATCAATTAATCAGTGTTAAAATGACACATACAGTAAGTAGCCAATGTTATTATCAGTTAAGATAAACAGGGACATTTGCAATATTACAGGGGCAAGAATAATTGATAAATGCTTCATTGTGTGATGACATTAAAGGCATTCTATTCTAGTCTATGCTAAGAGCAGTAAAGTAATACAAGGTAACATGCAATACTTATAATTGTAAGGAAATATAAAAAATACTGAATATAAATGGGATACAAACGAAATTATACAGTGTAAACAAATATGTACAGTGAAATAGATTGCATTAGCAATACCTATGTGTTTCTGCTTTATTCTATTCAGTATTTTTGCACTTGTTTGGATAATTGTCTGTTTAAAGTGTTTTATTACTACAGAAGAAAAATTCGTTTCATTTAAAGACAGTTTAACATAAAAGAATTGTGATTAGAGGCGATCACAGTAATAATGAACGACTCTCAGTGGAGTTCATACCTGAGCCACAGCCCAACAGTCGCCGTTAAAAAAACATGCATTTAAATCCGCTGGGGGCAGATTTATTACTTCCCAATGTGTCAGCTAACAMCATACGAAGCAGAATCCTGCTTCAAAACACTCGACACTCGGTAAATGAGTAAAAAAAACACGTAAACAAGTTCAGAGCTCACATGCTCGTTTCGCACCTGAGAGCGGAAATGGAAAGAAATACTTCCGGTGTTGTGGCTTCGACAGGATTGGCCGAGAGCACCAGCTTCCGGACTGCACAGGCATAACTAATCRATCACGAGCAAAGTCAAAACTAGTAGATCACAGATTACAGGTAACTCTTGACAGGTACGTTTTCTATTTAGTTTTATTTCTATTTTGGTTTTTATGTACGGAAGCCCTAAAGGGTCATACATACATACATTTTATTCCACCCGTTTTCCCGTGATAACGAGGTAATTTTCCTCCGTTTTGGATGGAAGGATTATCTCGTTATCACGAGAAAACGATCTTTGTTATATCGAGATAACGAGATAATAAAAAAAAAATCGATGGCCGTTCTCGGCTTCCGTAGTCTTCTCAGATGACGCACACTAATGTGTACATTATCTACAGCAAGGCATAAAGCTATTCCAGCCTGTGTCAGGCCTTGATTGAAGAGATATGTGATGCGGTGATCGGTATTCTCCTGCTCCTCTGACACTGCGACACTAAACGATGTTTCCTGCAATGATTTAATCATAGACTGTATATAAAGATGGACGTAGTGTCCGTGACGTCACCCGTTGGTTTCTGAAGAGTGAAAATGAGGCTCGTAGTGGGCGTTTCACCCAGCGGCATCTTGCCGGGGCCTGACTCCTCCTAGTTCCTGGCTAACCCATAAATGGGCAAAAAGGAGGCGCACGAGTGGACGCTAGGCGGGCCGAGTGAAGACTGACAACYGAGCCACGCCCACAGAGCTTATCGTTACCTGGTTAGCTCAGGCTAAGGAGCTAGGCTAAATGCTACCCGC